GAGGGTAAGTGCTTATCAGTGAGCCAGTTGAACAATTTATGACCGCACCGTCTCACAACGACTGGTTTGCCCATCTTCTCTCCAACTTAGGGCTGTTGCGTGTTGGGGTTATGTTTCTCTAGCAAAAATCGAACCACCAAATTTCTAGAGCTCCTAACCCTCTTTAGCAGGATGTGTAGGAGGTTGAGAATATTCCGTTCTTTAGCTGGAAGGCAGATTCATTACCTTCTTCGGCAGTGTAGAGAACGATGTACGAAATGTAAAGCCTTTTTAACTGGGCAGCCAATTTTAAACTTTGAAATTCAGCAATTTTTTGGAAGCAGTTTTGTATGTGATGAAGGGGATGCAGTTGCCCTCCCCTAGAAAATTTCCTTGTCCTGGGTCTGAACAATTGAAGCGCCTTCTTCATACAAATAATTCACTACCTAGCTCCATATGATCCTCGTAACCCTCTCCCTTCGATCCTCTTTTGTTGGTTTTCTTTTGATTCCAATGTTGATTTGGTATTCATTGCTTTAGAAAATTTCATTTGCAGTATTCCACTGAGTGGTCTTTAATATTCGTCACAAGAAAAAGAGAGAAAGAAAGAAAAAGAAGAAAAAGGCAGCAGCAGCAGCTTTCCTGTTCTCTGGCCATCGTTTGCATATGTTAAACTTCCTACTGTAATAGTAGTAACCGGTTCATGTGAGAAGATCTCCTGACTGAAATAATAACGTACTATCTATGAGATGCATTATCCTTGGTTGTAAAGCTTCTATAAATCCGTTGAGAAACAATTAAAACATTATTTTGGTGTATTAAATGGGATGTAGTACCTTGTGGTGTGGGTACTTCTCCACGAAAATCGCGTCGCATTCATCACACTCGATCGCGGGCTTAGAAATAAAAGGTTTGGATTCGTTGTGGAAGGATATGGTAGTAGCCGCGAGACACTTCCGCTTGTCGTGGAAATCCCGGAAGTACCGTCACCGGGTATCTTGTACTGGAACGAGCGCAGTCACACGCAGTGAAGGGGAAGACTTGAATACTCAAGATGAAGATTAAGGTAGCTGCCCCTGGACCACTGCTAGTTCTTGTGAGAAGTTCCGCCACCGTTTTAATGACACGTTGAGAATGAAGAAAGCGGCAAGTGCGTGCCGTCACGACGCGGTGGGCGCTTTTATAGTACAGCGTCAAGCGTCATTGACGCAAAAGCGTTGAATGTCGCGCTCTTTCTCTTGCTTGCATGGTGACGGTTCTGCTTTAAACGATGTTGCTCGATGCTCTGTGGTAGGTCGATTCATAAACAGGTTCTCTAAAAAAGGATTTTCTTGGAGCTTGAAGCGTTTCATTTTCTCGTGCCATTGAAAAAACGTTTGGTGAGCCTGTTGTGCTCCCTATCTACGCTGGCAACTGTGGGCTCTCTGTCTCTGTCCCCAGAAAGGGCAAGTACGGGTGTGAGTCCCGTCCGAGACTGGAGTTTTGCCCACAAATCGCCAACCTTGTGAGTCTCTGTCAAGTCTCACAAAAATCAGGGCGATTTTGTTCATGAGATCCTTC